CTATGCCACACTATCACAGCCAATCAGAAGATATTTAATGTTTAATGTACATTGTACATTATGTGATTGCAGGATTTTGAACTAATGCGGTTATGTAATGGGCGGAGCTACAAAGATGACGCGGCAGAAACGGAAACCAAATAACGTTGCAACTGGTTAGAACACAGCGTGATACATATTGCTACTGATGCGTCTTGATCCAAACAAAGAGAAAATCCACATTTGAGGGCCATGAAAGTTACATGAAACAGCATTTCTGATCTTAATTTTGGGTCTCTTAATGGCTTTATTGTTTCTAACAACATTTTAGCACTGTTTCAAAGCACACAGCATTTTATGCAAGCAGCACATTTCTAAACAGTCTTTAATAAACACGTTAATGACAGAGCAACCCTCCAGCTGTACAAGAGACTTAGTTATTTCTCCAGGCATCAGACATCTTACTTATTCCACAGTCATTAAGAGCTGTGCTTCAGGATATAGCAGAGCTGGTGTAATTACACAGGTACTGTGATGAGGAAGTTAGCAGTGGTATTCATCGTCTTAATTAAGGCATAAAGTCTCTGCTCTCAGCTAAAAGCAGCTCTGTTGGTTTAGGCAGCGCACAGGCTTCGTAGCATGTCAGTGTCATCCAGCACATCCTTTCAGGGTTGTAGTCTGCATTTGCATGTGGAAAGTAAACCACAGAGAAAGACTGCGATAAGGTAAGACGACCGAATGGAGAGTCAGCACCAGGCCGACCTTCGCTTTCACTTCCTCCTCAGAGCCTGTGGCGTTTTTCAGGTGCCGCGCATGCAAGGGTCTATGCGATTTGTCTAATTTGCAAGCTTCGGCGAGGGCCGCACCTGTTGCCCCGTCACCGCCTGCAGTCCCGAGCCCTCAACAAGCCGACAAGCACCCCCCAGATAATCCATTCTACCCACTATAACACGGATGCTCTCCCTGGTCCGTGCAGGACAAGGGCATTTTTCTCCGGTGGAGCACTCATATCCGCCATGCCGCTGATGGCTCATTACAGGCCAATTCATAAATATTGTCTCCAGTATTACCACTTGCAGGGCTCTCTCAGCTCCCCGGAGATTTATTCTTCTCTTTTACACCATGCTATTGTTTTCCTCCCGCTTTCTGTTTTTCATACCCCACCCTCCGTTCTTCCATACCTCTCACGGTTTGAAGCACCCGAGCCACATCTCTTGCCGCATGAAGACGACGGCGGCGGGTATTTGTTCCATTTAGAGTTGAAACAGGGCCAGAGGAACATCAAGTGACAGCAGCCACACAGCAGGGCGAAATGCAATCCTGCTCGATTGAACAATCATATAAGTGATGACAAAGTGCTTTATGACTATGCGGCTTTGTTGCACTTGGGTTTAGCCCACTAAGGTCTATGCAGGCGGTCTCATGCGACCTTGGCCCATTTTCACCTCAACTTCAGCTCCCAGAAGTGCTTTTATACCAGGATACCACATTCAGCTGGAATACGTTTTACCCTATATAACACAAAGAGAGATTTCACATTTACAGCTGTTCTGTGAATTTTCACAAGCGAAATCCACAATCAATAGAAATCCACGCAATTAGGAATTTTACGTGAAAAATATTTTGGGGGGGGGGGGTAGGCACTTTATTTTACAGTTTCTGTTACACGTTACATGTACTTGCTATAGTAATAATAAGTAAATTATGCATAATTAACTAACCCTATTACTAACCCTATTCCTAACCCTATAGTACGTACATGTTGTTAAATATTAATACTAATTACACTGCAACAACAAGGACACCTTAAAATAAAGCGTAACTTTTTTTGTTTCTCACACATTGCTACACTGTTGACAAGACACCGAGCCCTTTTTCCCCCATGATATTTTGCTAATGTGACTGCACCCTCATATGACGTTTTTGTGATTTTATTTCAGATATCAAGGCAAAAACGGACTGGAAGCCACTTGAAGGTACTGCCATTGTTGTTGTTGGTTTTAAAAAAAAAAAATTTATAGTCAAATTACCCTTGTTGCTTAAAGTATAGGCAATGGGGCTTCCAAATATTTGTGCCCAAGCTACAGTACTTGCAGGACCATGATGGAAACCAAACTCTTGTTTCGCAGATTTAAGCGCATCATAGCATGTCGCCGACTTCCAGCAGCATCGAGCGTGAGCGTCCTGTAGTGCATGATACCATCTGTCCATCAGTGGATTCCCTTTGAGTGTAGGATACCCAGTGGTGTTCCAGAGGTCTGGACCCACATTAGCACAACATCAAACAGGCTCCCTCCTACACATGCAGCACTGCGTGCTCTCCTGCTTATCTTATCTGAGACGGAAGGAGGAAGTCACCCCTCCGGTCCATCCCTGTAGAATTTGGCTTGACCTTTCTCATGCAAAGCTGAGAGAACTTGGAGGTTTTCTGCCCCGGCGACTGGGATTGTGTCCAGGGATATGCTTTAATGGGACACCTGCTGTGCTATTGTTAAAAATAAAGATAGGTATGACTGGCATCGCCTAGTATCTTAAATTCTTTAATAGGTGTTTTAATTCCACTTTATGACAGCAGTGATGAGTTTATGGGGTTAAAAGTGTTTCTTTAGTTTTATTTGTAGCACATGTAGAACAAACTTGCTGGGTCACATTTTGAAATAAATGGTTTTCTCCAAAACACGTTGGCCACAATTATTGGCACCCCTAGATTTTTTTTCGAGTAAGTATATCTCTGAAGTATATTCCCATTAATATTTACCTTTTTTAGCACACCAGGGTGACTAGGAACATGCAATTGTCTAGCTATGACTTCTTGTTTCACAGGAGTTTAAATATGAGGAAACACAAAGGCCAAGTTCCCTTAATCATCCATCACAATGAGTAAAACCAAAGAATATAGTTCTGATGTGCATCAAAAGATTGTTGAGCATCACAAAATAGAAAGTGGCTGTAAGAAAATAGCTAAATAATTGAATTTTTTTCCTTCATTTTGACCATCAGGGCAATAATTAAGAAGGTTCAATCAACAAAAGATGTTACGAATCTGCCAGGAAGAGGACGTGTGTCTATATTATCTTAATGCACGGCGAGGAGGAGAGTTTGACTGGCCAAAGACTCTTCAAGGATCAGAGATGGAGAATTGCAGAGATTAGTTGAGTCTTGGGGTCAGAAGCCTATAAAATAAAAATCCAAATAACCCCTACATCACCACATGTTGTTTAGGAGGGTTTCAAGAAAAATCCTCCTCACTCATCCAGAAACAAACTCCAGCAATTCAGTTGTCAGACACGACTGGAACTTCAAACGGCACAGGGTTCTGTGGTCAGATGAAACTAAAAAAAGAGCTTTTTGGCAACAAAGCCACCATATAGGTTTGGTGCAAACAGGGATAACAAGTACCCCATACCCACAGTTAAATATACCGCTGGATCTTTAATGTTGTGGGCCTATTTTCTAGCAAATACTAACAGATAAAAAAATCAAAACCTGACGGCTTCTGCTAGAAATCTTATTATGGGCCGTGGTTGGATCTTCCATCAGGAAAACGATTCAAAACAAACATCAAAATCAACACAATTGTATATTTTATATATATATATATATATATATATATATAAAAAAGGATAATTTATTCTTATTTCTAAATTTAAGTTAAATTAAAGGTCATTGAAGTGGTGTTGAATTTTTTTTATTTTTTTTTTATGGCTTTTTAAACTACAGATGGCAAAAGACAATCCAGATTGGTACTTGTGGTCCCTATTGCAATTCCTCCATGAGCACCCTGGGCTGTGAGCGCAGGCTGTGTGCAGTGAACCTCCTGGGGCAGGAAGGGCTAACAACCCTTGCATTGATCCAAGGAGACACTCAGCCCTCTAACCTGCTGAGTGCTCAGTTCAGGAGAACAATGGAGTTCAGCACACATCAATACAGCACCAGCCTATTCAGCGCACTCCGTTTATAAAGCCCAATGATGAGGTTGAAGCTCCTGAGTCTCTGCAATAGCAGGGCAGACACCTTCAACATCTGTATAAACCCCTTTCTTCCCATCATCATGGAAAGATATACAGACACCAGCCTCCCTGTGTTCCCTACTCCAGCTTTCTAACATCTTACCCTGTTCCTAATAGTCATGTTGTGGCAAAATGAGTCTCACCTACCACTCTAAATAGTTGGAGAGATTGGGATGGAGGAGGCTTTCTAGGCAGGAATGCACTGTTTGTCCCATAAGACACTAAATGATGTACAAGTGCATTTATTACAGCAGCCCCTATAAATCTGAGCCTGGCCTGAACTCCGGGGAGAGGTTAATGGATTACAAAGGGATGCGGTATCGAACCTTTGAGAAGTTTATACACCACATCAATATGTGCAAGGCTATTGATCATTTAGACCTTGACAGACAAATTAAATTCATAAACTTGATAATGCACTGGAATATTTGTATTGCTTACTACAGTGGAATAGGGCCCTTTTTTAATTTTTTTTTTAAACAATGCTGCTTTAAGATAAAGGTTTATTGACTGAAATTCACTTAATAGAGTCCACTGAAACCGCCAAGAGGAATGCTGAAATAATGTGAAATTTGGAGTAAGATGAAGTCCTTAGTTAATACTGCACAAACTTTATCCACATTTTCTTTTAGGTTGCTGAACATCTCATTACTTATGCAAATGATATATCAAATATGTAAATAATTTACTTTTAATAATGTTTACTTATGTAAATTTAAATGCATAATTGAAATTGTATTAATTTATTTTTTATGGGCTTTTTGCCAATGTTAGATCAGGAAGGCACCTGTTCCAACACAGGCAAAAAGCCAACAAACAAACAAATGTATTATATATGAATCACTTACATTAATTAATATTTCGTTAATGGATACTATAGCAGTTTCACTGCCTTTTTTATATTTACAGTAAACACTTTTATGTTGTCTTTTTTGTCGCAATGAAACCATGATACCATTGTTACATTTATTCCTATATTTAAATTAAAAATCAACAGTAGAAACAAAGATATTTGTGTTAAATCAAGTTTATTACAATTATGTACATTCGTCTTTTCATACCAGAATTTCTCTATGACAAATACCAGCAGGGTGTCAACAACATCAACATTGAGCAACGCTGTGCATTTCAGACAAACTGTTACAGACCTTTGAATTAAGCTTATTATAAAACCGATCCCACACGCACGCACGCACGCACGTACACACGCGCACACAAATGCTTAAATCCCTAATCTGAATTGCTGAAACTGAGCAGCATGAGTAAGATTCCTAACAAAACGATCGTAAAAACACAGTTGGAGATGAGAATGTCATCTTAAAAGAGATATAGGCACTGAATCTGTGGCTTATATCATGATTAATTCAGTAGCCCTCACAGAGGCTTTACAATGATTAGCTCAAATTAGCAAACTATGTTGTTTGAAGGACTCTGCCGCCACCAAAAACAACCTGCCAGTTGCAGGAACTCCTGAATGTGGTTTTAAGCAAAACTAGTACATGCACACACACACACACACACACACACACACACACACACTCACACTAAAGCTCTGTCTCATTCTGAAGCCGATGGTCTTCCTTCCTCTCACTTAAATAGCCAACTATCTTTGCAATGCCACTTCTGACACCAATCCAATACAATTAACGTTCTAGATCAAATGGACTTCTCTGATTCTATTAAAAGAATAGTTCACCCTATACATTACATTTATTTTCATTCTCATGCCATTCCAAACAGCCTTTCTTCTGTGGAACAAAAATGTTATATTTTGAAGAGTCTTCAAGTTTTTCTAGTGTTAAGTGACAGTTCATGTATAGTGACCACAGATGTTAAGCTCCAATATAAGATGCAGAACTGAATGATTCATTCACGAATCTGACAGATACAATTCTTGAGCTGTTAACTCGAGAAGAACCGCTCTGGCCATATCCAGTTGAACACAAGAACCCGATCAGTCCAATTTGTGAATTAACTGTGTGATTTGTGTGCCGGATCAACCGTTTAATCAAGACCATTTAATAACCATTCATGAATCAGACTGATCTGGTTCTCAAGTTCAACTCACCGACTCAGATCAACTTCATAATAAACAGACCACTTTATTGGGGTTTTTCATGGTCCACTTTTGTAATTTAACAGACCACTACGTCTGTTAAATTACAAAATTGAACTGTGGTTGTATGCAAAACAGCAGTGTGATCATTCTTCAAAATATATCCTTTAGCATTCCACAAAAAAACAAAAAACAAAAAAAACAGCATTAAGGTTTGAAATGACGTGAGTGATTTAAAGATTTTTGTATTTTTTGTTATTTTGACTGAACCATTCCTCTAACGTTCAATTGACATTTGGATTTGTAGCTTTTTAAATCAACGGCCAATTTTTAAAAGAAAAAAAAAAGTCACTGCATATCAAACGAACATAGCGGGTTTTTCTTGACATTGTATCATATGAATATATGCTATTCTTGTGTGGGTTAGTGTTAAGTCAGCCCTAGTCTAGGAAGTAAGAAAACATACACACGGCCAGACAGGTTGAGCTCTTTCATTGTGCCTTCGCATTGTGCCGCCACAGACCCACAATTCACCTGGCTGCGCTGTAATCCGGTTACTCTGAAGGTCATTTGTTAAAAGTGAAAATGTCACAATGGATCTGAGGCTCTTGTTCTCACTCCAGGATCTCTCTGGCTTTGTTTCTCATCAGCTGGTGAGTGAGTAATTTCATTAGTTAAATATTCATACGTTACTCTCCATTTACATCACTGGGGAATTTTTTTTGTGTCTTTTTTTTTAATCCTCTCATGACTTTCTGAGAGAAAAGCCCCCAAAGAGAAAAGCACAACTGTCAGCACCTCCGCTGAAGCATCCATTGTTTTACACAGTTTAATTACAAAACCCCAGCACCGTTTCATGTTAAGATTATTCACTGCAGGAGGCCTATATAATTTGGACTGGAGGGTTTGTCATGTAATATAATACAATATAACAGGCTTTCAGTATTAGATTTCCGATTTTAGCCTCCTTGACATTTCAAGCCGCATGAACTAATACATCTATTATTTGTCGATCATTTGATTATTAACATACTTCATAAACCAAATCAGCTACCCTGCTGGAGACTGGAGAGATACGACAGAGACAAACACATTTCTCTTTCGTCTCATTTTCTGTGTTCTCAAACATGTTATCCCTCCCTCTTTCTTTCTTCCACAGAAATCTCACTCTGATCACAAAATAAAAGGCATCGTTCTTACACAGACTGCTGCTGCCCCGTGTACTACACAATGTCAAACGTTTGAAGGGGAGTTGGTTCACTACGACAGAGTAAAAGGTCTATAGCAAGGTCTATAAAGAATAAGCGGATCCAACAGTGTTGGGACTCTGTGAACTAGTCTTTACTGCTGAACTAAACACAAAGCAATGACATACAAATCCAACGGCCTCAGATCACAAGAAAGCCAACTTTCTGATTCTTTGGTACCTCTAATTGGTTGCTATAGTCCCTACACTGCAATTGTTCACGTTTGTATTGGCTTGACAAACAGGCTTTTTTGGAGCATGACAGTCTCTATTAAAATAAGTAGCTAGCATTAAGGGGAAATGTATGGACTGACTGGCTGCAAAAGAAAAGTCATAATTCTCTCGTTGTCTATCCAAAAATGTCTGTTGCTGTGCTTGTTCAGGCATGCAGGAGGTTTGTGCCGACAGTCTGGTTTGCACGTTGAAAGTTTGCATGTTGAAAAGTCAAAAGGGTAAAGGACTGCAGTGAAAGGAACATAATCCACCTCAGCTGCCGCTCTGATACAGTGTTAAATGATGCTCACGGTAGCCATTTTACAGCAACGAGGGTGTGATATCTGGACTTAAATTAACTCTCAGGAAATCTGGGAAAAGGTGATTGGACGGATGAAGTCTGGTTGGGGGTTAGTCTCTAATCAACCTCGCTCTCGTTACTCGCCCCCTCTGGACGCCGCAGTTTCTCCACCTGTTCGTTTATCTGTCCGTCGCCTCCTCTCCTGTCCTCTGTCTGCACGCTCAGGGGGTCTTCCTCATCCGCATGGATCACATCGTCATCCTCGTCTTCTTCGTCCTCATCCTCTTTCTTTTCCTCCTCCCCCTGAACTTCCATACGGACCTGGTCTTTCAGGTCCAGAGGGAGAATCGCGCCCAGGCCCACGTCTCCGTTCAGGCAGTGTGAGCCGGACGGGGTGGCCAGGGAGCTGTTGCCCTCTTTGACTGGGGAGGAGTTGGCCGATTCGTTGCTGACAGGCGAGATGTCGCTGCTGCTGTTGGTGTGGTTGACTGAGGGAGGGTTGGACAGTGACGCTGGTTTGAGAGGGATTTGCCAGGATGGGATTTTGGGAACGGAAGGTGAAGCAGGGAACTGTCTCCTGAGAAGAAAGAGGACGTGAATAGAAAATTACAAGCGTTTTCTTTGAACTGTTTGCTGAAATCTCTCACAACAGAGTGCAGATTGTGCCTCAGGCTTGATTCTGACTAAAATATGCACAAGTGAGTCCAGCTATTGTGCTTTGGAAACACAAGCAAATTTGTCAGTATGGTAGTACATGAGAGATTATGTCCATATGCACGCCACACCTGGCATCTGATTCAAAACAAAGCATGTCTTCACAACAAAAGTCAAATAAATTCAAAAGCGACTTCAGATATGTACTGTCAAGGTGGTTTTGTTTGAATATGAGGCAACAAGTTGAGCAGATGGTGTGCTTGGTTTGCATTTACAGCGAAGATCTCACATCTTGAGAAGGACAACCAGATAAAACATTCAGACACTGGAAGAAAAAGGTAATTGCAGCATAAAATGTTTAATGAGAGTGAAACAACAGACAGAATGAAAGCTTTTATCTGTGTGAATTTCAGATGTATGAGATTACTTGGATCTTAATTTGCATGATACATACATAATCAAGTAAACATTAATGAAAGTGAGGGAAGATCCATCTTGGGGCATTGAGGGAACCTGTTGGATGCATCAGGCCTCATTAACCAGTAATGAGCCGGTTCCAGCTACATGCCCCGGTGAAGAGAACGATATGACACATACAGATCAAACCATCTCAGACACATTTATCTGCCGAAACGTACCAAGGAATACAAATATCAGCTGCCCTGAGTGAGAAACAACACTCTCCACTCATTTACATATTGATAATACAAAACTTGCACGTTGGAAGATCTACTAGAGGCCTCTTTCAGGCTGTTTTGAGCACTCTGTAAAGATATTTGTAACGGCAGATAAATGGCTTTTGTAGATGTCACATTTAATTTACTTGAAAATAGGTCCAAGGTCCATCTAATTTTCAAAAAAGAATTGGGGGGGTTCTGGTTTGTGGAAACATTTTTAATGCTGCATCAGCTTTAGGATTGACATCCACACAACATTTTGAATTAAAGTCCCTCAGTCTCATTATAGCCCCTGTCAAATCAAATATGGCGTCTATTATGACTAAGGTCTATTGTTATTGTCTACTGTCTATTGTTATAGCTGATTAATCATGGAAAACAGTTACCTGCTGAGAAGAAGACCCTTAAGAGACACAATCTCAGCCTTGAGTTCACTGATGCTCTGAGACTCCAGCATGCGGTTGGTGGCAGATGAGGCCTGAAGAGACAGAATTACAAAAAAAAATGATGATCATTATAATTTTTGTCATCATCAAACACTTGAAACCAAGGATCATTATTAGCCCCCTTACACATAATCCTGATTATCTTTTAAAATGCTACCTAACCCACTGGTTAAAAAATTGACATTTACAAATTGTTTAAAAATATGTTAACCCTCTACTCTCTTTAAAGGTAAAGATCTGCCCTAGAATGTTAAAAAGTCACTCAATGAACAAAATAATCTGATGCATTCAAACTGCCAATATGAGACAATGAATGTCCTCAAATTCATGATATCAAACCACAACTATACTGACGAGTCCCAACTACTGTATCTTCTCCACCCGTAAGGTCAGGATCTTTCAGAAAAAGGCTAAGGGAATTAATCATGCCATTTTTACATATTTTTCCATATTGCAGACTGCTGATTTGAGCAGGACAGAGGTGTTTGATAAGAGGTCTCTGGCACAACAATGGAAGTATTCATCAAGTCAGAGAGGTTTTTATTAAAAGAAGCCTTATCACTAACTGCTTGCCATGGGATGAATTGCTGAAGGGAGTGATGGCCAATTGAAGTGGCCAGCAAACATTTGAATAGCAAATTAATTCAAGGGAAAAAAAGCCCCAAAAAAATCCATCCATCATTTTTTTTTCTCCAAATAGACAGGTGGTTGGTAATGTCAATTTATGAAAGGAAACCCACTTCAAGAGAGATAGAGAGAAAAAAGGGAGATTTTTAGCACCTGTACATTTCTATTTCAATTCTCCAAACGTTCTGACAGATCAGCCCAGGCTCTCAAGCAAACCCCGTTGCTGTACGGAGCCACTGACTCCTTGAAGCGTCCACAAGCAAACAATCTACCCCATAATCCCATTCCAGTTCTTCTGCCCGCCGAGGGGGGAGGGGTGAAGGAAAGCAGGAAGAGGAAGTGGAAAAAAGGACTGGGGGGAAAAGGAAAATAAAAGTGTAATTAAGAACGTCGGAGTCACCGGGGGCGGCTAGTTAGAAAGCAGAGACCCCCTATCGAGAGGAGAGGGATAACTCGGACTCTTCCACATGTAATTAAATCTAAAGTAAATTAATTGAATCACATCTGAAAAGGATCAGACTCATTTACAGCGAGGGCTGGGGAGGGATGGCGTCTCCTTTCTGCTCCTAAAGCCCTCAGATAAGCGTGGCATTTTCGAAGAGGCCACATCTGATCCGAGCCGTGCGCATTAGGCCTGGTGAAGACACTCTTATTACAGGCCTCACCTCATTATGGCCATCTTAATCCCACACTCCCCACGGCATCTGGTATAATAAGGCTGGAATGTACCTCTTGCTCATTTTACCTTTGTAACGGGGAAAAAAAATTAATTGCTTCGGAGGCTTAGCTTACACTTCTCGGACATAAAATCTAAATAATATTTTAACAGAGGCTACAAAGCACCTCTCAGCCGGCGGTGTTTAAACTTCCACGGTTGCAATTCTTCATTTCGAGAGCCGAACACACACGCACACACATTTAGTGATGACCGTTTAATTGCTGCTAAAGGCCTTTCTCTGCATGTCTTTGACTGTGTGAGCAGCCATCCAGTCAGAGGGGTCAGTGCAGTGTGATCGGGGTCCGTCACCCTCTTAAGTGTGAACAAAGCTTCACCACAGTCTGGGTAATTATTTAAGGAGGTAGAGCGTACCGTACAAGAGAGGTATATGCACGTACTTACACCACAGCAGCAGCCAGACGAGGAATACATTAAAGCAAATGTCTGCAGAACATTAACAACGGATAATATCTTATGTCGAGTTAAGAAATGTCTGAATGCAAATTAATTCACTGCTTGCCTCTCTGATGCTATTTCCACCACGTAATGCATGTATATTTATGGCTGAATCAGCTCGAAAATAAATCCCAAGGGAGTGTTTTCTGGTGAAAACACTGGTACAATTTATTTGAGCCTGTTTATTCACTTTCCCAGTGGAAGAAGAAAAAAAATGTAAGAGCTTCTAATCTTCCATGAGCAGCCACTAATAAAGACAGCTATCATTGGATTCAAACGTCACAGCAATTTAACTTAAATAGTCATGATGATAATGGTTTATATATGTGGAGAATGAGATGCAACATTCTGATACTGAATTTGGAAAAATAAAAGGGTGAGTAAACAACAATTTCCATTTGGAGTGAATTATTCCTTTTAAAATTATGCAATAAAAATAAAAAACAATATACAACTATTGAAAAAAGTAAAGTAATTTCTAGCACCTGATAAAGTACTAAAGTAAAGTTTTTTGAGCAGTGCAAAGGCAATGCAATAAAACCACTTCTTTAGAAGTTCCAACTGACTTTCTTTATCAGTTAACGACTTTATCAATCAGCATTTGAATAACAGTTTCAGGTGTGCATAATGACATTTAAACACAAAGTATGTAGCTAATCTACTGAGATGAAAAAGAAAACGAACATAAACATGAGCATAAACTCGTGTATGAGCACTAACTCATCCAGAGAAAAAGGCCAACTGTGCTCACAAAACAGAACATACTTCATTTGTGTGGTTTTTAAAATATATTTATAAAAAAAAAAATGTTTACTTAGCAGCTGAGGAAACAGGAGTCACCATGTGTTTCGGGTTAAATACACATTTACGCATTAAAGAGTTTAATTGCCAAGCTTGGCGCATTCTGCACAGAGTGAAGAACCCCAAAAAGGCAACTCGGAAAACCGCACACTGAAAACGATACAACAGCCAAAAGGCGTAACACGTGTGCTTAATTTCATGCTCCGGACCTGAAAATAATTTCCCCCGATTTCCCATATGGCTTTAGACGACATCTCTCAAAACAAAATTTAAGATCAGCATCAAGTAGACTTTATAATTTGTTTAATGGGCTTTTTGATGTGAAGTATACTTTATACACACTGCTGCTTTCCAGCAAGGCACTCATAACAAATGAAGCTTTTTAATTCAATCTGGAATTTGACAGAGAATTTCAGCCATTTCTACTTGACTTAGGACTGCTGTTGCAGATGATGACTGGAAGTGTGTTGAACAATAGATCAATGTTGTGACATTTTTTTCTGGAACCAGCAGAAGCACATCTGAGGTGAACCATAGATGATTTTTTGGGGGGGCAAGTCAGTTTATGGATGGCGAACTTCAAGAGCGCGACGGAAGGAGGTTGGGGAAGGGGGATGTGAGAGTAGTGGTGAGTCTGCAATTCTAGCAAACTTCAGAAGGGTGAGAGATTCATATTTTCACTTCAATTTGTGCCAGGCCAGATGTGTTTGCATATGCTTTCCTACGGGATCCAGATGCTTCAGTAAAACACCCATGTGCTTAACAAGCTGTGGACATAAAACATGCCCTCGATTGCGATTCCAAAGCGCTTTTTGGAGCCTGTTACAAGATGAGTCATCACAGTATCGCAAGATACAAACTGTATCTTAAGAGTTTCACATTCTGGCAATGTTTTCAGCAGGCGATTTTCCTTAGATGACTATTCATTATAGATTATAAACACATGTCTTAAGAAAGGATTTGAAGGCCTTATCATCATGAGGAGCATTCTTCTGAAATGACACCATGATGCATTCAATTAGCATGTGATAAAGACAACAAAATCAGCACTGCCACAATAGACAAACAACAAAGATCTTGTTTGTCTATCTTTCTGTGCATTCTTCTCTTTTGTTTACGGTTGTCTATTACTGTGGGTGGTGTGGCATAGTGGTCTTGTGCTTTGAAATGCATCAGCTAAATGACTATGACTTCAATTCCTTAAATCTGAAATCTGAACCTCGTTACATATGTATTTATTTATTTTCTGTAATATTTATTTGTCTATACTTACAAATATATTTGTTGCATATTTTAAAATATTTTAATTTATATTTAAAATATATATATATATTTAAAAATGATTCAGGAATAGCAATGTGGTGTGCTTTTAAGTGATTCTTTTCCTGCATTGAAGTGATTTTATTTTCCATTACAACAAAATGATAATGCGCATTAAGCATGTAACTGTGGCTTTATCTATGTATTTTATCATTCTTGTAATGACAGGAAATTATTCTTTATCATGCAACCCTGTAGCTTCATAAACCAGGTACATTTAATAGCTATTTATTATCAACAGTGTTGGGTGTAATGCATTACTAATTAATTAATTACTGTAATTAAATTACTTTTCCCTTAAAAAATGTAAGTATGGGTAGTACTTAATTTTTCTGTAATTTAGTTAGTTAATTCTGATGTAATTGCATTAAATACAGTATAGACTATAGAACAATTCTATATAACACAATAAGGTATTTAACCTCAAAATGTAATGTCTAATGTTAAAATGTGTGTTATTAATGTAACCTTCTCCCTTTAAATACTTTAACTAAAAGCACAGTTTCAAGTCTATCCTTCTATTGTTCATCTGGTCAAGGTTGATATGGGATTTAGAAAGTAGTTACTATTGTGTAATGCAATACTTTTTAGAGAAAGTAATTAGTACAGTAATCTAATTACACTGTTGAAGATGTAATTAGTAGCTAGTAATTAATTACTGTTTTAGAGTAACTTACCCAACACTGTTAATCAACAAAACACAAAAAACATCTTCGTAATTATTTAATTGACACACCTCAAACTCAAAGTTGTGGCTCAAAGAAAATCTTACTGGTCCAGTTTTAGTTGCAGTATGGGTGGGGGTTTAATTGAGGTCTCAGCCCAGATGAAATTAGCAGAAGGCAAATGACAGATTGAGGAGAGATCAGGAGGGGTTGGCAGCGTGGGTTCACTTCCTGTCCCTGGATGGCTTGCTTGAGCGGTCTGGAGATGGCCGTACGTTCTTTATGGAGCTCCCATGACATGGCTTGTCCTGCTGATGCATATTTTTCTCTTCTGAACGGCATATGAGCTCTGTCACAACTAATATTCACATCAGGGTTAGGCATCAGTCTCAATGTCACTGAAAAATGCCCCGTGTTGTTTTAAACTTGAAGTGGCCTTGTTTTATAGAGGCAGCGCCCATGAAACTGAACGCCGCAATGAAATTGCACACTGATGTCTTTATTTAAACACAGCAGATCAACAAAACAAGTGTCTACTACCATTCATATTATATCTAGGAGAAATCACAAAACTGGGGAGGAATGCAACTGTTTTAGATTTCCTTTGTTAAAGCTAAATTCCTTCAGCTTTTTTAAAAGTTCCTTTACACGGGTTAGCTGCGCTCTCTTATTGCAGTTATTTCAGACAATAAAAGGCATTTTATGCATTTCTATCCTGCCGATTAAGCAGTTTGATAGGAATTATATAATGCACATGGAATTTTGTTCTCTGATGATGACTATGCAACAAAAAAGTTCAAGTCAAACCTGATTTTAAGAGCTTTAAGAGCTGTGGTGAAGGGGAAGATTATCACTGAATAACAACTTAAATTTCGCTGTTATTCACATATAACTATCATATAACTTCATAAGAGCTAGGTAGTCATATGGACTACTTTTATGGTGGTTTCTGACAGTTTTGGAGCTCTCTAACATCAAAAAAAAGTATACTGGTATACAGGACTCGGCAATATATCTTTTTTTGTAGTCACATGGGTTTGAAACGACATGTAAAGAGTTATTGATGACAGACTTTTTATCATTTTTAAATGTAAAGGTTATCTGTCTATCGCTGTAGCAAGTGTGTGTGTGATTACCTGGGAGTTGGCCAACTCTTGTGTCAGCTCCTGTATTTTCTTCTGTTGCTGGACCAGCAGCTCCTGCACTGAAGCCAGGGTCGTCTGCAACTGGGTGACTGCAACCAAAAACACACAAATGAAGGTAAGTCTACACCCAAAACATTTACCAGAACTTCACAGGCAAGAAAACGACAGCTTTAGTCGAGAACCAGTGCAAACCGACACATCCGTTTGTTTGAAAGCATTACCGACGATAAACACACAGTGGTTTTCTCTTTGATTTAGCCTTCAGCTCAATCAGTAATATAAGACACCTCTATTTGTACAAGATTAATCACCTACGTCTGCTCTTATATCAAATCAGGGTCTCTTAACCTCCATTAGCATGGGTTTGAAACGCTGGCTCTATCAAACTCTCCAAACAATCAACAAGATGAAAAAAAAAAAAAAGCCGCTCATTTGGGAGGCAGCAGGGCTAGACACTACTGTCCTCACTAATCTTACTAAATACAGCTCATTTTCCTCCCTCTCTGAAGATTGAATTATTGTCAGATTGTGCTGGTCCCGAGGATTAGAGAAAGCCCAAGAAAAACAGCCCTAGCAGGGCCAGAGTTGGTGTTATTAATGGGGGTATCATTTCAAATAACCCAGAGCACAAGTTGCTCTCCCCCTGTTTCCAGTCACACATGCATTCCCAAACAATGCATTAAGTTTCCAAACTGATTATGTTACAGAAAACCAATAAACGCCTCTATAAATCATGCTCTGTAAAGTGTTAAATCAACTCTAATTGGATTAACATCAGCAGATATTATTAGCTGCCGACTGTTGGCTCTCCGGCGCACAGTTCCAGGGCTCTCCTTTCATAGAAACAGCCTTTCCACTTTCTGCTTAAGAGCTGTTACATGTTTCTTTCTCTCACAGCCTTTGTCTGTCTCATTAGGTGACTACTTACACAATAAGAGACGCTGAACAGTTTTTCATGCTGAATAATAATGATTGTACTAACTCAGATGACTATATTAGTATTAACAAGAGATCTGAAATCCAATTTATTAACCTGTCTTCAAAAACATATATTTAAAAAACAGTTGACTCAAAAATGTTAATTTACTCAACCTAATGTTGTTCCAAACAAGTTTTCTGTGGATCACAAAATGAGATATTTTGCAGAATGCGCATACAAACCTGGTTGCTTGGTCCAGATGGCACAAATTTTGAATGTGTGTGAATAATTTGAAAGCAATGAGGGGATCAATAACTTAACTTAAATGTCAGTCCCCAGACAAACCAATCATATGGCTACAGTACAGATGAATTCATACATCAGTAAACCATATGGGATTTAGAACTTATACATGATGGCTGAATTTTTATTCTTGGGTGATCTAGCCCTTTAAAAAAAAAAAGAATTATAGATCTGGGTTCATATGTGATCATGGACTCGTTAAATATCACATTTACTGAAAGTCACCCTTACGATTTCAAATATTCCTTAGAAGCACATGGTTAGAAGTTACTGTACATTAAGCCATGGTGCTCAAGTGGGTCATGCTGGTTTGAATACAGCTCGCAACATCTCACAACCTTCATTTAATCCTTTTCTACCCATGATTTCCAGTTATCTTCGTACTATCCTTTGAATAAAATAGCTAGAAGGTCTAAAGTAAAAATCTGTTCCAAGCAGGAATGCCACTACAGCCTAAGTCAACCACAGCAATTCCTGCGATATTACACGGAGAATGAGCAGCAACTGCACTTGACCTCTAAACCCACCAAACACTCATTTCATACTCAAAACACAAGGAATAATGCCTCCATTTAGTGTGGCTCGGGTTTCCACAAACGTTCTCTTTGGAGAAAACAATTGGGCGAATTTGAGATCCTGCAAGTGGCTCCGCAGCTGCTACAAGGAGGCAGACAGTGTGTACAGCGTAAATTATTCAGTAAATACCTCAATATAATGTACACTGCATATGTCCGGGCCTGTCTGAGGCTTTATTGGCCAGCTGGTCACCAATATGCTATCCGCAGACAAAGAGACCAAGCAGCTAGTACAATTCCATTACAGCCAGCACGAGGGTGAGTGTGTACGACAAAGTGCTTCCAAGACCTGTTCTTTAATTGCGTGTGGAAAGTTGTTGGGAAATCATAATGGAAGTCAAGGCTTACAATCAAAGGCTGCAAGAGTAATGGAGCCACATTCAAAGGAATACATCACTCTGCCGCACTTGGCACTAGAGAAATACACAAACTTTAACAAAGGAGTGCGGGCAATTGGCAAGAGCGGCAGTCACTTGCTATTACTCACGTTGTGAGAAGTGGGGGAAACTCACTCCGTAATTGCAACCCTCTCCCAAACTGTTAACTGAAACAGTCATTAACTACAATAGCAACTTGGCTACTGCAGCCACAGCAAATTAGATCAGCGGCGTGACTGACTGAGTGACTGGGGGTAGCTACGGCTCTTCCAGGAGAAAACCAGAGAGTTGTGGAGGGAAGGAGGGAGAGAGAGAGAGAGAGAGAGAGAGAGAAAAAAAGATGGTCAGGAACAAGTGTTTCACAAAGGAAATATGAAAAGCAGCTTCAGCCCGGAGCAATATAAATACTCTTATCATCTGAATGTGACGCTAAACAAAACAGGAATCCTGTTAAAACCAAACAAAACAAGGGCTAGACAGGCAGCGTAACACAAAGGAGGCTTTTTTTGCATATATGAACCAAAATGGCAATGAAGAGGCTCATTTGATAATCAGATAAAGAAACCCACATCAAGCTTGCACGCAATGGCTCACAATCGACTGGCCTTTTGGTAACCCTCCCCAAACTAAAAAGCTAGGCAACGGAAAACATAATGCAGTGACGCAACCAACCAAAATCACTCGCCCTTTATCCTATATGCCCCAAATTTGCTTATATTGATCTCCTGGATAATGAAAACAAAACTATATGCATAACAGAAGGCTACATTGAGATCATAAGTCCATGTATAGAACTAGATTATTTACATGGTTTTATAATGCAAATAATAATATTATAATATTAATAAATGGCAAGCATACTTTGAAAAAGTCTTTTATAAACAACAACAAGTCTGTTGTCTATTATAAGTCAAGAGTGCCTGCTTTGCATGTACTGTTTCACATTCACAGACTGTTACATATCTACAATTTAAAAAAATGCAAATGTTTTCATGGTATTCAGCTAGACTGGGAAGAAGAATATTTCCTAGCAGAAATCTGTTTACTAAGCCCTTTAACTCATTACACGCAATTCAAACTGAAAGCCTACTACAACTGAAAATAAAATACGTAATTATATGTAAAAAGATGTCAAATATGCAATAATATGTCTTTTACTGTGACGCTGAACAGTGGTGCAGGAAACACTTATTTGTAGAACTAAATAAAGTTTGTTTTTTAGGATGTGTGAAACCTTAAAGAGCTTCAACCTTTTTTAAAAAGAAAAAAAGAAGAAAAAAGGAAAGCCTGGTGAATATTCAGATGTCAAAATTACCTTTGTACTAATCTAATGCTCACCTAAGGTTAATCTTCAAAAACACTAATAATTTAATAACACGAATCTCAAAAAATTTCATACTGTACATCATAATGTTGTGAAGCCAAAATTAACTTGTAGCATATAAACAATTCATTAATTTAATCTATTCATACAAAATAATAAATTATTTTAATATATCGGATATGTATCAGTTATCAAGAATGATGGGTTTCTCAGTATCAGCCAGAATTTAATTTCCCAGAGCATACCTATTTTTAATGGTTAAATATATGCAAGGAAGACAAGACCATACATCAAATATGCAAATTGACGTAAGGACCAGTTGCAATTCAGCATGCAAATAATGTAATTGCATCACTGTCTGTTAGATTACGAATAGCGAATATTCTATATTCACTCACTTTAATCTTAATTTTAACTTTAAAACTTTACATAACGCAAATAGATTTGAACAGAAATACAAAAAAAGCTCTCATAAGGCTGAAATTATATACAAAAAGATCCTTTAAGTTTCATGTTAAGCAGAGGTGTAAAAATCCTAACCAGAATGTTTAATGAATAAGTCCTGCCTTGCAAAACCTGTCATAAAAAAACTGCATAAGTTGTCCTGCCTCTCTTTAGAAAAAAAAAATGTTGCAAGAGTGAATTGTCGTTTACACAGAAGGAGCCACCCAGCTGTAAGTCGACTGCGGCACTAACGAGACAAAGTTTCTTCGGGAAGTGTCCCGCTTTCATGGTTGCCGGGATGTTTAATTACACCGGCTGCGTAGTGGGTAAAGAGAGGGGGAGGAGAGAGGAGGAGAGGCATCCCTCTCTGACAGCCTAGCTGAGATTCCTCACCTGTCCAAGGCGGGAGACGCACCTGTCAGCGCACACTTAATCACCAGCGCACTCCGGGCCCAACCGGGGAGCCACACCACCACGCCGAAAATTAAAATGAACTTTCTTGCCACGCAGTTAAGAAGGCAAAAAAAAAAAAGAAACGCTGTCATTCCTCTTCCCCTCATTAATATTCTGAGGTTAAGAGCTTTTCAGCGAAACGTAATTAATTGAAGCTGAGCTGACAGTAAACAAGCAATTTCAAATTAAAGCAAAATGACAGGACCGTCATTTGTAAAATGTGAGCAGATTTTGGCGACAGATAAATGAAGGAAAATGTTAAGGAGGAAAAAGTGATGAAGATATTAATCTTCACCTGTCTGTGTCAGCGTGCCACTCATATCCGCGATGTTGCTCTCGATCCGCTGCAGATGCTTCTTGTCCTCTTTGCTGCCCATAATGAGGGGAAGGATGTATTTCTGCAATTAAAAACAGGGCACGCTATTAGAATTCCACTCAGGAACAGGGAAAACAGGCCTGCGGACCAGGACATGCTCTGTTGCTAACTCAACAAATAGACAAAGGGCTAATCTATTAGCGTTAGCATAGTCAAACCAAAACTTAACCCTCACTGAAGGCTTCTTATGTTCATGACTTTTTTTAAAGAGCTCTATAAGCTTTTCTATCAAAATATAGTGAAATATTATTACAATTTAAAGGAAACATTTGGTATTTTAATATATTTTAAAATGTAATTTATTCCTTAGATGGCAAAGCTGATTTTTTAGCAGCCATTACTCCAGTCTTCAGTGTCACAGTTGAGTGGCTTAATATTTTTGCGAACACTACGATACATTTTTTGATAAGAAAGTTATAAAAAAAACAGTATTTATTTAAAGTAGAAATGTTTTGTAACATTATACATGTCTTACTGTCATTTTATTTTATCAGTTGAATGCATCCTTATCAAAAAAATTATAGTGACCCCCAACTTTAATATAGTCAATATATTTTTCTGGCACAATAACAAAGAGGGGTTTTGAATGATCACAATTAGGTGACAATCTCTCTCTTTTTTTTCTTTTCTTTTTTTTTACTGAATGAAGTAATTATGAATCAGACTTAATAAAGCTATATTTAAGAGCGGCTAGACAAAGACTATGCTTTACTATGTTTTACTATATGTTCTAGTACATCAGCACAATATATCAAACAAACAGAAATAAAAGAAATGAGGAGAAAAAAAAATCAATACTAGTGTTTGTGCTTGATTTCACAGTATCAGGTTCAGTATTGTGTTTGGCAACGGCAGACAAAACATCATTAATATGAATTATGATTAATAGGCCTGCATTCATGCTGAAAAAAACAGGACCTTTTGTTTTTTTTAATCCCTCTCAAAAGTCTTGCGGTTTTCTCACTTCATCCAGAGTAATTTGCCTCAATGGCTGACACTGAGGCCAAGAATTAAGCATCGGGGCATGACTCTGGGTTCAACATCATTAAGTCTTTTAGCCCACAGGCTGGCTTCTCCATTTGAACATGTCACCTTCTGAGGACAATTGCTTGTCAGAGTTTAAGCCTTGTAGAACAACATCTCCAAACACTGAGAATAAGAAGCAAAGGTCAGACGGCTGGCGCTTCCACGATTCTCACGCCATTGCTGTTATATTTACAAAAGCGCAAGTCGATTTGTTTCCCTCGACAAATAAACAGCACATAGACGGGGAGATTAAAATGGCATTTGGTGAATAGCTGGGTGCTGTAAAGTGTAATGTGCGTGTGCAGACTCTCCGTCTGGAAAACAGTTGGCCTTAACAGGTTTTCACAGCGGCGCAACCGTTGTTGACACCAGCATAAGTAATAAACACTTTTAAGTTGAAAAAATCAGAATGAGTGTCAACACCAGGGTAGTTAATAAGAGAGCTGCTGTGAGCGCTGTTTACAATGTGCTCTATAGCATAAATAAAGTGGAGGTGGAGGACAGGGCATATGGTGGCACCGGTGAGCTGTTCCTCTGACATGACAGCAGTGAGAGCTCTCACACCAGGGAACTGCACCTCCAGCCACGGGCACAGATCCTCTCAACAGCAGAGACCCACACGGGGGACTGGAGAATCACAAACTCTGTGTGTGTGTGTGTGTGTGTAAGAGAGAGCATGAGACACAGAATGAAAATGAGAAAGGAGTGAAAAAGAGAGATACAAAGAACAGAAATGCATTTTTTACATTTTCTAAAGAAATTATGAGTGGTGCTTGTCTGCGCAAAAGTCACTTTCACAATGCTGTGGTCGGTTGCTATTGCATCACTACACGGTTGCTAAAGTGTTCAGTGTTTTTTTTATTTCCTAGAACATCTCTAGGTCCAAGTCAAAAGAGCCCACACAAAAGTCTCTATTATACTGTCATCTCTAATCATGTCTGTTTTTTTTTGTTTTGTTTTTTTGCACATTTTATTGTCTGCCAGGTAAATATCTTAAATCCAATCTTTTTGTGAATTTGCTCATGGTTTATGGGCAATACACTATTCAGGAGTTTGGAGTTGGTAAGATTTTTTTGTTGTTGTTGATGAAAGAAAGAAATCTCTTATGTTCACCCAGACTGCATTTATTTGATCACAAATACAGTAAAATGGTAATATTGTGAAATATTATTACAATTAAAAATAATAAGTGTTTTCTGTTTTAATATATTTAAATTTTTAATTTATTCCAGTGATTGCAAAGCTGACTTTTCAGAATTACTCTTCAGTAGGGCTGCAACAAACGATTATTTTGATCAAAGTTTATTCACGATTATAAATGAACTAATCGTAGATTATATCAGTAGGCTTTTGATCGATTAATCCGCTTTTGCAATTAGTTCAAATACTTGGTTATCATAAAATATTGACCTATTCTAACTAATAAATAAAACAAGGAAAATGTTGTTTTAATGAACTTCGAGCCAAATGAACAGATCAGGTAGAGCTTTAGGTTTTCTGTCCTTTTCAGAAGTCCATTTGTTACAATGACTGGTACTGAGCTTTTTTTAGGGCAGGGTTTGGGCGAGTTCTATATGCAAGCTTGCGATTCGCTATCAAATTCTGATATAGACTCTATTTGACTGAATATCGATTCATTAAGATATCAGATGTTCATTTTTCTCAAGGAAAAAAAAATCTCTCAACTAATGCTGTATACAGGGAACCCAGTTGCATTTAATGCAGTTTTTTAATAATATGCTGAAATAATAACTTTAATAAGAGGAAAATATGAATATAGTACTATGAATATAGTAGTATTTTTCTAACCAACTATCGAGTTTATGGTTACTGAATGCCTTTTCTGAGGTAAAATTTAACGTTATGGGACATTGTTTACAAGCTGTTTTATTGATGTCTTTCCGCAGTTGAAACAGATTGAGCGATTACATGGGACTTGATAGGGATATTGATAAGTGATACCGTTTCTATCTTGTTGTTCATTCTCTGATGTTCATTCATGTTTATTTGGTGCTATAACTAGGGTTGGGGATTTGCTCAAAAAATAATAGTAACAATGAAAAAGCAATAGTAACAGTGACTTCCTGAGCAAGCACCAGAAATGGGAATGAGTAAAAATGAAAGTTGATAAAAACGAGAGTTGATGTCACATTCTCAAAAGATCATTTTGAGTATTGAACAAGCTACAGTTTCAGATTGTAAAACACACTCTTGTAAAAGGAAAATGTGACTTTTTCTGTAAAATGACACAGGTTTGGCCCACTACATTAATAACAGCAGTCATGTGGGCTACTGGAGATGGAGACTGGCTTCATAAACCCGCGTGTGCTGAGAGCAGCAGAGGAACTGGCTGACTGAAGTGGCTGAGTGCAGACGGAAGCTTAGGAAGCTAAACATGAGTTCCTAATCATGACATCATGGGAGTTCCATTCGATGTCATTGGAAATGTTCTCTTAAAGTCCACTGCTCTATTTTCGTTTTCTTATAAAACACAGTAATGGAGTCCAAATGCCTCTGTGGGTAGTGTGGGTTTACCAAGAAACGGGGTCTCTCTTTTACTCGACAGGGCCTGAGGGCCCACGCACCCATCTGTGCCCACGTACAAAATCGTGTGGAGATAGTATTGGAAAGCGGCACCGCCCCCGGGTTTCTCCAAAAGGGAAAGCAAAGAAAAGATCTAAGGGTTGAGATGAGCTCATTCTGATGACGTTGGAGAGATTGAGTAAACCATTGTGGTTACAGTCAATGTAAATGAACTCACACAAAAGCAGAAATGCTGGGAAAAGCTTTAGTTCTCAGAAAAAATTTATACATTTTTTTTTTTTTGCTATTGGTGACTCTTACACATACCCGGTAGAGATGATAGAAGCCAAAGGCCATCCCTGCCATGATGACAGCCATGGCACTGTAGTCTCTCCATCTGTAACCTGGAGCTGCAGGGACACACACACAAATACAACAAGCTCATCTATTAGCCAAACCCTGGGAAAAGCTGTGGTGAATCTTCTGGTATGCCATTTTTAATTTGACATGAAAGAAGCAAAGCTGTGATGTACAGAAATACAGTGTATTCAATGGCTTCATCCTGCAACACAGGGTTTCTGAGAAAATCTTATTTGTAAAATCATTCCTGTAAATGTTTTTTGTTCGTTTTTTTTGCTTAAGATGGCACTGGTTACTCAGACTATTTCTGTGAATCAGTATAAAGTATCAATTTTATAATAATGATAATAATAATATTATTATAAATAATATAGTAATAATTCAATTCAAAGATTTTCACAGAACACCCCTCATATTTTTTTCACATACTAAAAATCTTTAGTAAAAATACATGTAGGTAAACACTGCTGTTTATTGTTATATTGGTGTATTCATTTGAAAATTAGTAACTATGATTCTTGCTTGTGTTTTAGTAAAAAGCATGTGGGAAAGAAAACTTTACTGATATGTTCTGCAACTTAGTGTTTGGTCAAAATGCTGGTTAAAAAATGTGTATCCATATGCAGAATGAATAATACAGCAAAAATATATACGTTTTTAAAATATTTATATTAAATATTTTATTTAAAATGTTACATTAAATATATTTTAAAACAAATAATCTCCACAAAACAAAAAAATAGAAACTGCTGACTGTACTTCTACCCCTTACAGCTTTATCATTTGCGTCAAACTACTGTAAAAAAGGTGTCAACACATGGACTAAGGTTTATAGTTTATACAGGTCTATTTGAATTGGAGCTCTTGTTCCTAGAAGGAGGGGGGGGATTCTGATTACACGTGGTTGTAGAAGCGTAAACTACATCTGAACTTCTAGATTAAGAACCACATTACTGTAAAACAGAAAATTAGCAATTTCATAAGCTATGACTGAGCTTAACGGAAACTCCCGCTTACAATATTTGAGAGGAAAAATCACTCTGTTAAGGGTAATTGTGATCTTGAAGAAATGGAAATGACAATCGTTTAGAAGATCACTCGTACGGTTTCTGCTGAGAACTCACACAAGTGCTCATAAGCGGTAAGATGAGGTGTGAATGTCACATAAGCGCAGTATTATCAGGGACTATCAGGAACTGAAAGCCCACATCAAAGAGTCACTCCTCACCCCTTACCTTCATTCTCTGAGAGAGACAGTTGACCTGACAGAAGGTGAAAAACTCAGAAAAAACAGTTCTGTGCAGATTCAAAACAAAGAACATGCTCTGAAAATGCTCTTCTTTTAAAGTGAGATCAGACAGATATCCTGCTAACAGCTATAAGATAAGAATAAGTTATTTATACAAGTCAACATTCTGATGATAAACCATTAGAGCATTAGAGAAAAACTCAAGAGTCATTAGTCGGGCAAAAACATAGCCCCGCCCCAAACTCACATCATTGGTTGAGCCAATGCTGCTGTGTCGCGCTGGTCAGAAACCTCAAACAAACAAGCGAAGTTTAAAAGCGTCTTTACAGAGAATCAACTTACCAATGGCTTACAAATAGCTGGCATATTAATGTTGGATATGAGAGAGTGTTGTAACATAAAATGACATAAAATAAAACTTGAGCTTTACGTTATGTTTTAACCAGCTTGTGAAAGCAAGAGCAGCAGTTTCAATTCACGCTAAGGCAATCTGGCAAGGCTCAGCCAACAGAAAGGAGGGAGAAATTATCATGCAAATGTTTAACGGCACACCAAACAGAGAAGTAATTAAAGCAAGCCTGGCTCTGGCAGGTCAACATGTCAGATACAAAATGCTCCATTTTGTAACATAGCGAGGTCTGCGGAACAGGTGTGTTACTGTAATTTGTTTGAATCTGCTCTACTGAATACAAATAGACAGGCTCGCTAATAGACTAGCAAAGCAATACTACTTTTTCATTTTTTGCTAAACAGACAGAGCATAACTAAACAGGCAGTTTTTATCTGATTAATTATATGAGAGGTCGGTTAGGGACACCATAAATAAAATCTGCCACTGATTCTTGAGCAATGGGATAAAACATGTCCCACAATTTTACCTGCCATTAGTTTTTAAAATAGGAGATTTTACACTAGATCACTAGATTGTTCTTAAAGGTCAAGTTCGGTATTTTACACTTAAAGCCCTGTTTTAAGATTGTTTCTGATGAAATAGAACGGTTAAGATTAAAATTTGGACACATGCTGCTGTCCCGAGCATTTTCGGTTTCTGTGGTTGCACCCCCACACCTCCAAAATGGTTGCATGGGTGCACTGGAACAATCCTTCCTAAAACGGATTAAACATTAGTTTACAAAGACGTTAAACTCACCGAGTGGTCTGGGGTGTTCACTGATATGCTCACACAAAAATCGCTGCAAAAGATGCTTTCCAACAGGTTTTATCGTAGTTTTTGTCCAAGTCAAGTCAATGGAGTTGGACAAAAACTACGATAAAAAAATCTCTTTATGAACTTTTGAAGCGTCAAAGTGGTAGTTGCTAGACTCTCAATGGAGGGACAGAAATCTCTCAGATTTCATTAAAAATTATAACTTCATTTGTGTTCTGAAGATAAATGAAAGTCTTACGGTATTGAACGACATGAAGGTGAGTAAATAATGACAGAATTTTGCTTTTTGGGTGAACTATCCCTTTAAGTAATCTAGCTAGCAAATATTTGAAATAAATATTTGACATTGCTTTAGTATCTGACACTGTTAATTCATATTGAATGATAGGCGAAGGAAAACGCTTCATTTGCGAGAAAATGTAATAACTGTAGGTAAAACGTTGGTGAAACCTCATGTTTAACAGATTGCTTCAAAATAATTTTCTGGCGCTTAAACTTTTCTGCACTTTTGTAACCTCTCTTCTCCCAATACTCAAGAAACAGTGCCTTGAGGATCAAATCTGCCTGAAGACTGAAGCTCAGTGACATTCTACGTCTGCAAGCACAAACCTGCAACTTAAAGAAGGACTTCTGTCAACATCCCTTTTTGTATCAATGGTAAACAAACACCACATTAACTAAGTGTCCTTGCGAGAGCATGGCGTGCAGGAAACACATGATGACAGTTTGGGTAAGGCTATGAGCTTAGACCCTGACCGATCTGACCGATCTCCTACTTCAACTCGAGATCCACACGGGACTCCTTCTTCCACATCGGTAGCACCTCCACCTCCACTTTCCACTCCTGCTTTTTATTTGGTCACTTAAGGTGTGAGCATGGCCTCCATTCCCCTTTTTTCCAATCTCCGTTCAAATTTATTGGGTTCAGAAAAGGCCCTACTGTCCTTCTGCCGCTTGAAAATAGAGATCAGAGTATCCATTACTCCGACAGAGATGGATGCAGGTCCCAGCGCATCGTCCCCATAACAAGGACATCAAAGAGAGGGACCCCCTCTTTCCAACCTGACCCCCGCGAAGATCTCCTCACTCTCCCCTCATTATGCCATTCTCTCATAGCCGTTTTGATATAAAACCCCCCACTCTAGTGGGGCTGATGCCTAACTACATGGCCATCCCATCAACATCGCTTTCATTACAAAACATGAGATGGCGGGGAGTCAAGGACAGGGTGGCAATAAATGAGGGTGGAATACATCTGGAATCATTGTCATACAGGTTAAGCATTATGCGAACTTCATTCAGGATTGGTAAATCAGCGGCCGGCCTGGAGCTCATAACCTGCAGAGGTAATAAAGATAGAGGCTGCAGAAAGGCCCTTGGCAGGCCAACCAACCACAGATTGTCGTAACGGTGCGGACATCATATCGCAAGGCCGTGTCGGAATTAATTATGTGCCTACGCAAAAATGATGCCGTCCGCCACTCATTTCCTTTGAAAACCACTTGCTTAAGATAACAGTTATGTTTGGGCGCTAATAAAAATATCTGCACGATATTCAAAAGTATTCCACACAGTCTGTTTTGATGTACAGGCGAAGGTTTAAATAGGATTATGGGAGCACAGAGGAGATGTCTTCGATGGGGGACTCATTTAATATAGTCACGCACCATTTGGTAGAGAAAATCTACTAGACTAGACGTGTCATGTTTAAGGAGCGCATGGGCCACGGAAAAACATACAGTGAGGGGACAGGTGGAGGGGTTATAGGGTAGACCACCTATCCTAGCAAAAGCGATTGTGGTTATACTCACTGTACGGGGCCAGTGGAACCGGGTGAGCGATGTGCGTAGGTCCGGGAACAGCCACAGTCAGCGGCTCATCCACACTACCGGACTGCTGGATGGCTAGATCGACCTCCTCATCGGTCAGACCTGCACAGAAAGAACGTGGTATGACATTAAACAAATCACCACTATAAATTATACAATTTTATATACAAGGTAATTGTGCATATATTTGTGGTCACATTCACAGACATTGTAAATAAATCATTTGGTATTTTTAGATAGTTTTCCTCATTTTAAGTAGTCTAGCTAGTAAATAGTTGTAATCAATATTAGACTAATTTTGTATCTGATGGTATTGATGAGTGATAGAAATCGAAGGTTTGTAGGTACAGATTTCTCCAAAATAATGCTTTTCTGCACTTTTGTAACCTCTCTTCTCCCAGTATTCAAGAATCAGTGCCTTGTCAAAAGATAATCTGTCTAAAGACAAGCTGAAAATGCCTGAAAACAGTGTAATGGGAGAGGGAAAAGTGGTGATATAAATGGAAGCGTGTCCTTGACTGTCCTTTGCAACCTGCAAATAAATCTAAACGTTTAAACTCTTGCTAAACTAGGTTAATAGCACCATAAGCGACAGGCGTAGACCCGGATGAGCGGCTCTGGAGGTCCAAAGCTCTGAGCTCCACTCCATTACAGTCAGATCTCAAGAACAGAGCCTGTCCATTTCCTGCCGCTATATTTCCCCAGGTAGAGCTCAGCGGAACCCCAGACAGATAAAATGCATTATTTTAATTTCTTCATTGTAATGTAAATGTATTACATAATTTTGCAAATGCCAATATAATTTAATCTTCAGATCTTTTTTAATGATTTTAGTGGTGATTAAATTGCATAGAGGTCTCTAATGGAAAATGACAGGAGAGGGGGAAAAAAAATCTAATATTAATATTTCCTTTTGTGGAAAAAAAGCTGGTTTATTTCCAACTCTGCATGCAGTCATTGGTCTGTGTCTTGTCTTTATTAAGCGTCTTGATGCGGGCCTAAACAGAGCGGTGATGGGGCAGACGCCAAACAAGAGACCAGAGAAACACTAGGAAAGGAAAGACAGAGGCGGAAAAAGCCTGTTAGTCGAATGTACTTGTGCGTTGACATTTAATGAAGACATAAAAGCGGGGAAAACATTATGGGCTTCCTCTACAATTGGCACATAAAACCCAAATGCTTTAACATCTCCATTTAGAGCCAATGGTTTAAAAAGGCTCCAGTTTCTATTAAACTGTAAAGTTACACATATCAATTTAATAAATCTACTGAATCCTACAATACACACACACTCCCTCTGACCTTTGTTTGTCCACAGTAGACTGGAGTGTGTCACGTCTGTCATTGCGTATTTAGTCTCTCTCTCACACGCTCTTGCTCTGTTTACTGGAGATATCCCCTTGGGCATTGCGCTACTCTATTCCACATGCTTTCATACGGCACGGCTGCCTGCCAGAGAGCCAAAAGGCTGAGCTTTGCTCCAAATTGAGCTGTTTAAAGAGCAGACAGCAAGCTGTTTTTGCGCTGTAATACACACATCATAAATGTGGCAAATGCCAGTGCCACATGTGCTTAAATAGAGCGGGGAGAACTGAGAGCTTGGCAGAGAACAGAGTCTGAGGCTGTTCAGCCCTGTCTGCTGTCTGCTGGGTATGAAATCACAGTCACACTTCATAGAGCCACACTAACACTGCAAAACAATACAAGAGCGCAGCGGAGGTAGGGATGCATAGTTAATCAGGCGGTTTTATCGCTGCGTTTCATGCTTTTCCAGTAAAAGTTTCAATTTATGACTGTGAGAGAGTTTAATTATAGGAATATGGGAATTTTACGTTAAAGAAATGGCTTGTTGTCCGTAGGCATAACGTGATGTATTACTACTGTTACTGTCCATAACAAAAATAATAAGTGGCTAAAGCCAAAAAGTGGCCTTGAGTGGCTTTCATCATCCTCATAATCAAAACTAATCATTCCTCCTCTAAACGATATATGCCACCGTTCAAATGTTTTGGGTCAGTTCATTTTTAAAAAAATAAATTAATACTTTTATTCATCAAGGATGCATTAAATTGAATTAAAAAATAATATTTCTATTTAAAAAAAATGTTGTTCTTTTGAACTTTGTTCATCAAATAACCCTGATAAAAAATATCATTGTATTAACTGTTTTCAACAAAGATAATAAGAAGACATGATTGAGCATCAAATCAGCGTATTAGAATGATTTCTGAAGGATCATGTGACACTGAAAACTGGAGAAATAATAATCATCACAGGAATAAATGACATTTATAACATTAAAATAGAAACCAGTTATTTTAAATTGAAATAATATATATATATTACTGCCCCCAAACTTTTGAATGTTATTGTAGTTTAAACTAACTACAGACTGTTATTAGTTGTAAAACAAATGTAGCAACTTGAGCCGCATTAACAGTGAACGTGCAGCCACGGGTAAGCAATTATCTGTATTTTATAACCACTTCAGATGTGGCTCATCCAATCAGAATCCTAGTTACTTATTTAACAGTTTATGGAGGTTTTTTGAATGGCAGTTTCCACTTGAGATAGCAAGAGGACACAGCAGCAAAACGTTAGCATCCAGAATTTATGACACATCTCTCTCTACATTTAACCATATTCTCCTTTACTGTCAAGAATGATATTAACAAAATTTATACCGCCACCATTTTCAATAAAATGACCATGTAGCCAGTTTTGCCTCACTTGCGGAAAACTCTAGGTTGAGGTCAAAGTTAAAAGGAGGGCAGTTTCTGTGGAGGTTGAAATGGCCCTGAAAAAATGTTGAATAATTTAAGGCAAATATTGGTCATCCTGTCTTGCATGGCATTCAAAGTGCCAGGAAGCAGCCATGGCCATGTGCTGAGCTGGTGCAGTCAGCCTGTACTGTCCAATAAGCAATAATGTGTCCCTGGACTCCCTATTCATCTGACCACACCAGACTGCTTGGTGGCAGACTATTGAATGAGACTTGGAGGCCCCCCTCTCATTTCCTCTCACTCACCTCACCGTAAAGGCACTATCAGGAAGTTCACGTTTTCGTGAGCTCACCTCAGAACGAGCAGGTCGTTTTCTAAGGACATAATGAACAAATATGTACATATTTGTAATGTCATTTGAATTCTTAAATAGCACCCACTGCGCAACTACAAAGTGGTCCGCCGTGCACCCGAATAAGATGCATGCAAATTCATTAACGCGTTTGCTTTTCTTTCGGGTTTTCGGACTCACTCAGCTGTTTTGTCTCCTCTGATGCCTTTATTACAAAGAAAATGGGACGACAAATGAAAGACCTTTGAGATCCAATTTAAAAGAAGGACAACAAGAGTGAGTTTTACATATAAAAGGAAAAGGACACAAAAAGGAAACAAGAAATGTATTACAGTTTCCAAAACCTGTGGAATGACCCCTTGGACCTCCATTTCAGATCGACCCGCCGGTAGATGACAATTTTTAAGGCATAAATTACATCTAATGACGACACCGTAAAAAAGAACAATAATGGAAAGCTATTCTGTATTTCATTATACTGTATTATTTGGTGCACCTGATACACGCAGAGCCTGTTTATGAGTCACCATATTAGCAGATGCTCAGTCGAAGCATTTGCTTTGACCTTGCCATTCTCATTGGGGCATGAAATTACGGTGGTGGCACCACGATATTACAGCTATAAATACTGTAAACTGCATATCTGGGCTACGTTTTCTATTGTCTTTCAACATAAACCTGATCGGTATTTATTTAAAGGAAAACCCATTGCTCTCTGTATTATTTATGGCTCTATTTTCTGGGCTCTTATTTTCAGGATGTTTTTTTTTTCTCCCCAGCCTTTTTTTAAAGAGTGATGAGGCGACTCATCCAGCCATAAAGTGCAGTTCTCCAATTTTGGCACTTGTGAACTTCATAGGGTATGAACAAGCTCACAGGGACAATTATAAAAGTGCTTACTGAAAGGCTGTCAAAGGTGGCTGCTCTTTTTTCAGCAGACCAACAAGGCTTGGATGAAATCGCTTGGTGAATATTACTTCTTATTATAATAATAATACCAGATTGAACAACAAGAAAAATACTTAAGGTCGTAAAGATGGAGGTCACCGAGAGCGTTTCCGTGAGATTTCACATGTCAAGTCCATGTCCCACATGATTGCATGCCTTAAATAATGACCGCTCTCATAGCGTATTCATTTATGTATAAAAAAAAAAAAAAAGAGGACTGTGGTCCTCTTTTTGGATGACAAAGTGAAAAGCGACTGGCCTAGGTGGCGCCGTGGAGTAATTTATAACCACATCAATCCCTTTGTCTTTTATGCAGGCCTTGGTCATTGCCATTCCTGTCCAAGAGGTGAGTCGCATCACCTTACTTGCAAACTCTTTCCTATTAATATCAGGGATGATGAACCATTTCTTTACCTTCATGGTGTGAGCGGTATTACACCTGCAGTGCACCAGTGTCCCTCATGGCCCTTTGAGCATAATGAAATGACTACAGGAAGAACACTAGCGAGGTCAGAGATCTGAGCACAGAGCCTTAGCGGCTTGTGTCTCACCCGGACGTCCACATACAGGTTTAAAGGAAGCCACTGGGTGAAGTTTGTGACAAGACAACATAGAAAATCCAAGCTGAGGAAAAACAGTATTACATCCCTGATTACACAACGTAGAGACAGTAAATGAAGGACAGTAAATTCTGTACCGCTGCCAACTAGCAGTCATCTGAGAAATTCAGCCTGTAGTTTTTAAGATAACGACATATCAGCGGGCACACTTCATTTTTAGTGATTTCCCCTGAGTGAGAACACAATTTAATGTCGTTCATAATTAAAATATCATTTATTAGAAACAAAACTCTGTTGAGAATGTGTTTACACTTAACTAAATGTTGTCAAGTGCACAGAACAAGTTTTTGTATTCCATTGCGCTGCTTTTCCATCGATTCTCTACGAAATTTTGATCGTGTTCACATATCGCATACGTTGCAACGTATGACACGCCATTCTAAAACGCAGCATTCCTGTTAAAAGAAGTTGAACTTATAAAAAACAAGTCACAAGACCTAGTAGTATTCCCCATTCCAC